CAAAAACATGAGATTTGAATAACCCAAGCCATTGGGCAAGTATACGTATATTAACATAATGGTATTGGTATTCTTTGCTAAAACAAGCTCATTTTTTGAAACTTTGGGCAACAATAACACAAGAACTAAACAAATCTGGTACATCTCTAAAACGTTATGTTACCCAAATATTTTATACAATAAACGATCAATTAAAGCTTGTTATATTACAATTGTCTATCACAAGTGCTCGAAATGGAGAACTTTATATGTCAATTTATCTGCGTCCAAATGAACTTTTTATTGGGCATCTTCCAAGTACAAACACTGCCTATCAGTGACCAATTTTAGGTACAATAGACTATCGGTATCATTTAAATAATATGTCGTTGTAATTTAGGTATATACATTATTGCTGTCATTAATTGCTATTGCAGTAGTAAAAGTCGTCTCCGCTTCTCTAATTCTATACAAAGATATAAGGATTCATTTGATATGAATTTCTTTCAAAAATATCCTTTTACGTGGTTAGCTATCTTTGTATCGTTTTTGGTTTTTATTGAAAGTTTTACTCCAGTAGAACGTGTAAGACAGAGTATTGCCCTCGTAGGAAATAAGCTTTATTTTTTTGGTGGACAGACTGCTTTTTTGTCGTCAACAAAGGATGTTTTCTACCTTGATGTATCTCCTTTACAATTAAATACCTTAAATCCTTCATGGACTGATGTTTCGAAAACTGCCCCAATTACCGTAAATTCGTCATATGTGAGTGCGTGTGTAGGTGGATCTGTTAATAATAGCGTATTTCTTCTAGAATACCATAGTAAAGATAATGCAGTGAGTAGCGTGATGAATGTATATGTATTTGATGCGGGAAGCCAACGATGGACTTCTTCTATAATAACTGGAACGGCTCCTGCGAGTACACAAAACTTTCAAGTTGCGATTAGTAATAATGGCAAAATATATATGTATGCTTAAGTTCATATCGTGATTTTTATATATTTAATTTATTTAATTTATTATTAATTTTGATAAATTTACTAGATTTGGAGGACAAAGCGTAGCGGTAGGTACCGTCAATACTACTTTTTTAAATAGCATGATTATATTAGATTCGGTAAATCTATTATGGTTACCAAGTGTAAGTTCTGGTACATCAAAACCGCGTTCAGACTACACTGCTACATTCCTACCAAATGGTTATATTCTATATATTGGAGGAATTAACGGAACAAAGGGTTTTAATTATGCTATGTCAGAGGTATTTATTAGTATACGTTTTATTAACGCATTTACTATTATGCCGTATAATTGATATATATTTTATATTAGATTCAAATTTATGATACTAACGCTGCAAGTTGGAGCATAGCGGTATGATCAATTGATTTGATGCTGGATTAACGTTACTGAAACCCCATTTTTTTAAATTAGAATGTTTCGTTTGGTGAATTTAGCTTGAAGCGGTGATAAGAATCTATACTGTTTTTTATGAGTTTAGATTGAATCCGGATAAAATCGGGATAGATTTTGATACTTACAGCCTGGGACAGCTAAAAATATCCGTTTTTACCGTGGTGCGCCAAATTTCAGAAAACATTTTATGATAAAAATGGTAAAAAAATATACCAATCAAAATTCTTAAAATTATTGGATACGCGTCACATTTTAAAAATCAAATATTTTAAATTGTTATAACTTTTTTAACATTAAAATTTTAAAATCTCTCTTTCGGATTTGTTATTTAAATAAAAAGCAACAAATTTGAAAGAGAAATTTTTATTTTAACTTATTTGAAAAAGTTAAAACAAAAATAAATGGATATATTTAGCTGTCCTAGGCTGTAGAAATTTGCATTTTATGTACTGTGTAAAATTATTTTAAAAATTAATAATTTTATCTTATAATTTGCCGGATTAATATTAAGGGTCTAAGGTTCGGGTTTTTAATCCAGGCCCGTAATAATTGAGCGTTAATTATGGTGGTTTACGAAAAGTTGCAATCTCTGCAGATAATGATGAGATGTAAAATCACGAAAAATCAGGAATTTTTCGATTCTTAGAGATGTCGAATAAATATACTGCAGACATTACTGATTGAAAAAATATGATCAATAGAGAATTTAAAATCTCAGAAAATTTCCACTATCATCATGAAATCACAGGGTCGCACCTTCTTGAAACCGCCATAAATGGATATTCTAAAAATATCTTCGAAATTTAAAATTAAATTTATCCCTTCAGTATTCTCATAAAATATACTGTCAGCTCTTATTAAATATTAAATGCAACTTCTAGTCTCAAGTAAATGCAATTTTGTGTTAGTTTTATTTTTCCTGAGTTGCAATTTGAAAGAGTTGGCTGTAAATATAGGCTTCTAAGATATCAATATTTTCGGGAAGAAAAGAAGGTACAGATTCTCATCACCGCTTGAAACCATCTAATATAACTTTTCATAACGTTTATCCAGACGCATGATTACTTTAAGTATATAATATATCGATATGTATTAACATTTTAATATCAGCCTGCTACAGGTGAAACAATAGATCCCAGAGATTCTCATACAGCTGTGTTGGCTCCAAATGGTTATGTTATCATTTACGGTGGATCCCGTAATTCTACAATTGCAGGTCCACAGTTGGCTGTATTAGATACAAATGTTTCACCTTACAAATGGTATACTAAAGCCGTTACCGGTGATATTCCACCACCACTTGCATACCATTCTGCAGCTATGGTAGGCAACTATATGATCTTAGCATTTGGTAATTACTAAAATCATAATATTCAACATTAAATTCTTGTGTTAATATGCTAAGAATTTTTTAAAATTTTCTAGGTGTTTTTGCCTCCGATAGCGATGTTGTGTTTAATGCGAATAGGCTAAACCCTAAAATATATATACTTGATACAACAAATTACACATGGGTCACATCAATTGACGTTAATAAAACGAATCAAAATAAAACTGTTACCGCTACCCCTACAGGAACTCCAACCCCAAATCCAAATATAGGAATGATTATAGGACTTGTCATTCTTGCGATAGTTATAGTAATAGCAATTGGTGTAGGTTTTTTCTTATACAGAAGACGAACTAAAAAATATATTATCGCAATGCCGGGCACAAATCGTGAAATATAGACTATAGACCTTAAGTTATTTAAAATTTCACAGGAGATACCCCTAAGAATGTTCTATTTAACAAAAAATTTTCGATTCATTTGTTTTTCATATAAATTTTAATGTTAGTAAACTATTTATTTAAATAAGTAATTATAAGAGTTATTATAAGTTAATTCATTTTAATAAATGTTCTGTTCATCATAATCGACGGGGACATTATTGGGAAATTTTCAATGTTTGAAGTATACTAATAATGATTAAAAAATTTTTTACTATTCTTAGACATGTTGTGTACTTATTAAATTCTATAGTAATTCAGAACAAGTTCAGCTAATTTATATCATATTCGACATATTTTTTGAACTAGATATCATAATTAAGCTGAATGTGATTTAAATAGAATACTATTCGGATAAAACACGGCAATAATGTATCTATTGTTTAAAGCTGTTCACATAAATTTTGGAACATCTGGTGAATGATTATTTGGCCGATTCGTTGAGCAATTATTTACAGCTGTTTTCATAATTCCTGGGACCTGCAAAAAATTATCCGAATGATTTCGGTCGATCCGGTTAATTTATTATTTCGGCAAAATAGATTCAATAAAAATTGGTACATTGTGGAAGTGGAAAATTCCTCTTCAATACAAAAATACACTACAACACTACACTAATACAAACAAAACAACTCCAACTGAACCCTAATAATGGTAAGGCTTCGATCGAGGCGTGGAAAGACTTGGTCCGAGTAACTAGGGTCAATTAGAGCTCTAGACTACGTCACGAGTCTCTTA